TCAACCCAGAATTTCATATCCAGCCAAACTAAGCTTCATAAAAGCAAAGGAGAAATAAAATCCTTTATGGACAGTAAATGTTGAAAGGTTTTGTCACCACCAGGTCTGCTCTACAAGAGCTCCTGAAGAAAGCACTAAACATGGAAAGGAACAAATGGTACCAGCTACGGCAAAAACATACCAAATTGTAAAGACCATTGACACTATGAAGAAACCGCATCAACTAACGGGCAAAACAATCAGCTAGAATCACAATGGCAGGATCAAATTTACATATAACAATATTAACCTTAAATATAAATGGGCTATTTGCTCCAATTAAAAGACAAGAACTGGCAAATTGGATAACGAGTCAAGACCCATCAGTGTGCTGTATTCAGGAGACCCATCTCACATGCAAAGACACAAGAAGGCTCAAAATAAAGGGATGGAGGAAGATTTTTCAAGCAAATGGAAAGTGAAAAAAAGCAAGGGTTGCAAACCTAGTCTCTAATAAAACAGACTTTAAACCATCGGAGATCAAAAGGGACACAGAAGGGAATTACATAATGGTAAAGGGATCAATGCAACAAGAAGAGTTAACTATCCTAAATATATATGTACCAAATGCAGGAGTACCCAGATTCATAGAGTAAGTATTTAGAGACCTACAAAGAGACTTAGAATCCCACACAGTAATAGTGCAAGACTTTAACACTGCACTGTCAATATTAGACAGAACAACAAAATAGAAAATTAACAGGGATATCCAGGACTTGAACTCAGCTCTGGACTAAGTGGACCTAATAGACATCTACAGAACTATCCACCCCAAATCAACAGACTATATACATTCTTCTCAGCACCACATTGCACCTATTCCAAAATTGGCCACATAATTCTAAGTAAAACACTCCTCAGCAAATGCAAAAGAACAGAAATTATAACAAACAGTCTCTTAGGCCACAGTGCAATCAAATTGGAATTCAGAATTAAGAAACTCACTCAAAACCACATGACTACATGGAAACTGAACAACCTGCTCCTAAATGACTACTGGATAAATAACGAAATATAGGCAGAAATAAAGATGTCTTTGTTCCAATGAGAACAAAGACACAATGTACCAGAATCTCTGGGACATATTTAAAGCAGTGTGTATATGGAAATGTATAGCACTAAATGCCCAACAGAGAAAGCAGGGAAGATCTAAAATTTCCATCCCAATGTCTCAATTAAAAGAACCAGAGAAGCAAGAATAAACAAATTCAAAAGGCAGCAGAAGACAAGAAGTAATTAAGATCGGAGCAGAACTGAAGGAGACAGTGACACAAAAAAACCCTTCAAAAAAAAAAATCAATGAATCCAGAAGCTGTGTTTTTGAAAAGATCAATAAAATACACCATTAGCCAGACTAATAAAGAAAAGAGAGAGAAGAAACAAATAGATGCAATAAAAAATGATAAAGGCGATATCACCACTGATCCCATAGAAATACAAACTACCATCAGAGATTACTACAAACAACTCTATGCAAATAAAACAGGAAACCTAGAAGAAATGGATAAATTCCTGAACACTTACACCCTCCCAAGACTAAACCAGGAAGAATGTGAGTTCCTGAATAGACCAATAACAAGGTCTGAAATTGAGGCAGCAATTAATAGCCTACCAACCAAAAAAAGTCCAGGACCAGACAGGTTCACAGATGAATTCTACCAGAGATACAAAGAGAAGCTGGTATAATTTCTTCTGAAACTATTCCAAACAACAATTCCAGAAAAAGAGGGAATCGTCCCTAACTCATTTTATGATACCAAAATCATACTGATACCAAAACCTGGAAGAGACACAGCTAAAAAAGAAAATTTCAGGCCAATATCCCTGATGAATATCAACGTGAAAATCCTCAATAAAATACTGGTAAACCAAATCCAAGAGCACATCAAGAAGCTTCTCCATCATGATCAACTCAGCTTCATCTCTGCAATGCAAGACTGGTTCAACATATGCAAATCAATAAACATAATTCGTCACATAAACAGTACCAAAGACAAAAATTACATGATTATCTCAACAGATGCAAAGAAAGCCTTTGAAAAAATTCAACAGCCCTTCATGTTTAAAATTTTAAATCAACTAGGTATTAGTGGAATGTATCTCAAAATAATAAGAGCTATTTATGACAAACACACAGCCAATATCATATTGAATGGGCAAAAACTGGAAGCATTCCCTTTGAAAACTGGCAGTGGTGAGACAAGGATGCCCTCTCTCACCACTCCTATTCAACATAGTATTGGAAGTTCCAGCCAGGGCAATCAGGCACGAGAAAGAAACAAAGGTTTTCAAATAGGTAAAGAGGAAGTCAAATTGTCTTTATTTTCAGGTGACAGGATCGTATATTTTGAAGACCCCATCTTCTCAGCTCAAAATCTCCTTAAGCTGATAAGCAATTTCAGCAAAGTCTCAGGATACAAAATCAATGCGCAAAAACCACAAGCATTCCTATACACCAATAACAGATAAACAGAGAGCTAAATCATTAGTGAACTCCCATTCACAATTTCTACACAGAGACTGAAATACCTAGGAATACAACTTACAAGGGATGTGAAGGACCTCTTCAAGAAGAACTATAAACCACTGCTCAAGGAAATAAGAGATGACACAAACAAATGGAAAAACATTCTATGCTTGTGGTTAGGAAGAATCAATATCATGAAAATGGCCATACTGCCCAAAGTAATCTATAGATTCAGTGCTATCCCAATCAAATTATCATTGACTTTCTTCACAGAATTAGAAAAAAACCACCTTAAATTTCATATGGAACCAAAAAAGGGCTGGCATAGCCAACACAACTCTAAGGAAAAAAAAACAAAGCTGGAGGCATCATGCTACCTGACTTCAAACTATACTACAAGGCTACAGTAATCAAAACAGCATGGTACTGGTACCAAAGCAGATATATAGACTAACAGAACAGAACAGAGGCCTCAGAAAGAATGCCACACATCTACAACCATCTGATCTTTGACAAATCTGACTAAAACAAGCAATGGGGAAAGGATTCCCTAGTTAATAAATGGTGTTGGGAAAACTGGCTAGCCATATGCAGAAAGCAGAAACTGGATCCCTTCTTTACACTTTATACAAAAATTAACTAAAAATGGATTAAAGATTTAAACATAGGACCTAAAACCAAAAAACCCTAGAAGAAAACTGGGGCAATACCATTCAGGACATAGGCATGGGCAAAGACTTCATGACTAAAACACCAAAAGCAATGGCAGAAAAGCCAAAATAGACAAATGGGATCTAATTAAACTAAAGAGCTTCTGTACAGCAAAAGAAACTATCATCAGAGTGAACATGCAACCTACAGAATGGGCGACAATTTTTTCCGTCTACCCATCTGACAAAGGGCTAATATCCAGAATCTACAAAGAACTTAAACAAATTTACAAGAAAATAAAAACCCCATCAAAAAGTGGGCAAAGGATATGAACAGTCACTTCTTAAAAGGAGACATTTCTGCAGCCAACAAGCATAGGAAAAAAGCTCACCATCACTGGCCATTAGAGAAATGCAAATTAGAAGCACATTGGGATACCATCTCACACCAGTCAGAATGGCAATCATTAAAAAGTCAGGAGACAACAGATGCTGGAGAGGAAGTGGAGAACAGGAATGCTTTTACACTGCTGGTGGGGGTGTAAATTAGTTCAACCATTGTGGAAGACAGTGTGGCAATTCTTCAAGGATCTAGAACTAGAAATACCATTTGACCCAGCAATCCCATTACTGCATATATACACAAAGAATTATAAATTGTTCTGTTATAAAGACACATGCACGATATGTTTATTGCAGCACTGTTTACAATAGCAAAGACTTAGAACTAACCCAAATGCCCATCAATGATAGACTGGATAAAGAAAATGTGGCATATATACACCATGGAATACTATGCAGCCATCAAAAAGGATGAGTTCATGTCCTTTTCAGGGACATGGATGAAGCTGGAAACCATCATTATCAGCAAACTAACACAAGAACAGAAGACTAAACAGCAAATGTTCTCACTCATAAGTGGGAGCTGAACAACGAGAACACATGGACACAGGGAGGGGAACATCACACACAGGGGAAAAAGTGTGTCAGGGGGTGGGAGGATAAAGGAGGGACAGCATTAGTAGAAATACCTAACTTAGGTGACAGGGTGACGGATGCAGCCAATCACCATGGCATGTGTATAGGTTTGTAATACACCTGCATGTTCTGCACATGTACCCCAGAACTTAAAGTACAATTTAAAAAAAAAGGCGAGTTGTTTCATATGAAATTCACTTAATACTACAATCAAAAATCAATATTTACCTAAAAAAATGAACACAATTATTTTAGGACTCAATCTTGCTTATGAGAAAAAGGTGATTATACCAAGGAGCTTTCAGCCTCAAAGTTCACTAACCAACCACAATTTAATGAATATTTCCTTTATTGTTCTCTAATGTTTTCTAAATTATACTTGGTCTCACTCCTTCTATGGCAGTCATTAATCAGAAAAAGATGTCTTTGACCCAAAAGCATCAGGGCTTTTCAATACTATGTTACTGACGCATTCACGTTAATGGTATCAGAAATGTCATGCAATAATGGTATTTCATAATCAGTCTAGTATGATTTTACACAGGAGATGAGGGCCTAGAGTAACACAGCATGGTGCTTATGGAAAGACTGCAAGTATTTAAAAGCTTATTTTAATTTTTAAATATTTAAAAGCTTACTGTTTACTAAAAACTGGAGTTTTTTCTGCCTTTTTTTTTTTTTTTTT